AAAAGTTTAGTGATTTTCGTGTTAAAAATTTTTTTAATACAAATATTTAAAAATTCCTTATCGTAACTACAACCTAATGGTTAAATTCCATTTTACTTTGACTACGGATCTTTGTTCAAATTCAATTAGTTTTAGCAAGGAAAGAATTTTCGCGGAGGTCTGTACATTTGGCAATCGAATTCCAAAATGCAGGGAAATACGGATTTAATTTAATTTAATTCCGAAACGTTATTTTATGTTTGCGTATGCTCATGCCTTTGTTTCTCGAAAATGTTTAAAAAGATAAAAATCATCAAGAAATAAAATTCACCGGGAAACACTTGCATATCGGTTTATTTTAATATTTCATGACCGTTTTATGTGACTATGACACTGTGTAATTACAAAATTTAATGTCAAAAATACATTTTTACAAAATTAATATAGATATAAAGCAAAGGCATCACTGTTGTAAAAAAACTACTCGAAATGCATAATACATTAAAAGACACACAAGGAAGCAAATTTATAATTATCTAAAATTATAATTATTTTATTCTTCACGCCTCTGATGCTTATAATTTAATCTGTTTCATTTTTATAATGTTTATTATAAGTAAAACGATTAATTTTTAAGAGTAAAAATAAAAATAAAATATATAAAAAATAAATACGAGAAATACTAATAATGAAACACACAAAATTAAATAAACTTATAAGAATTTGATGATCAATATTAAATCAAATATAGCATATATAAACATAATATATAAATATCTACTAACACACACTAAGAAAAGAATATATATAAGATATAATGAAGTTTTTCATTAAAGTTTCAATATTTTTAACTTTTTAAATTCTTTTCTTTCATATTTTATGACTGTTGACTTATTCTGTGTAGAATTCCCTTTTATTTCATGCTTTGACTTTAAGACAAACGTTCTTGTACTCACCGTTAAACTTTACTTTCCTCCGCGTAGTTCAATATCCTGGAAATTTGGTTCTGCTCGCTGCCCCGATCAGTTAACTGCATCCAATCTGTACGGAAACGAAGGACGAGGATGAAAAAAACAGCGCTTTACCCTGTTCCGTAATTAATTTGGCCATTAATCCGCCGGTAAATTAAACGGGAGATAAGTTGAGCAGCACGTATGTGAATGGTTATTAATCACACATATCGACATCAAGTCTCTAGGATTTTCAACTTTCTCCATCTACTTTTTCATATATTAAAAATACATAATCTTATTAAAAATGCATATGTATGTGAAATAATGAGTTCAGAATAGCATAAGTCCGCTCATGTTATTCTAGCGCAAAATTGTGATAGAGAAAAGAGACTTGTTACATATTAATTTATCCGTTTTTCAGACACTCTCGTATTCATGCCCTTGTGTCGCGCATATTCCCACCAAATATTCCGGATTTGTCACGTCGCTACCCCTTCTGGGAGAATTTGCGCTCTGTGTTTCGCGCGTCTAATCGTCACCGTCGGGAAATTACATCGAGTTTCCCGGCTACAGGCTGGCCGTAATTTACACCACGCGGAGACTACACGACATTCCGTACAGCCCTTATGGTCGCGCCACTGCGCGTCAGAAGCGAGAGAGGAAGAAGAGGGAGGATTGTTAATCCCTAGAAATTGTAAATCCTCGATTATATTGCACGCTCCATCCTCCTTTTTACATTATTTTATATAAAATCTAGAAATCAATTTAGCACCAAATGCGTTTACTTCGAGGGTTTACACACTTTTCCTGTCTATATAAGTCATCTTCAAGTCCATCTCTTTATTGTCAATCAATAGCTGCAATCTTCAAATTCTTTTTCCTAACATTTTAGATCGTAATACTTTTTAGATCATTCTATATTTGAACGAAACGTTTGAAAGATGTTCTCTCTCTCGTCTTTAAATAAAGTGTACGCAGTTTCGTATTCAGGAATTCCTTAATATTTCGAGTGCCGGTTGATGCGTCTCGAAACCTCGAAAGTAAAGATAGGAAGTGAAGAAGTAAAGAAAACACAGAGAGGATCCGGCACCTAGATCAAAGGCATGAGATGTCATCATTGGAAAGATTGCGAAGGCGGAACTGTTTCTATTCGCTTCGACGATGAAATAAAAGAAAGAGTAGAGCTACTTTCGGAAACGAAGAAACGTTTTGCAATTTTAAATTAATCAATAAAATTGATTTAGAACATAGGAAATAAAAATACATGTAACATTAGATTTACAATACATATTCTTGTTAAGTATCTACACAACAAATTTTCCAAATACATCGGAGTTATTCCGAAGTGTTCCAAATATATAAAGTAACAAAAGTGTTTGTAAATCTTCGATTGCAAATTTTAATGGAGACAAGTACAAATTTCATTTATGCTTTTCGAAAATTGCTTGTTCTTAAAATTGAATCCGAACCTGAATAGCTTTTCATTATGTCTCAATAATATTGTTGGGGGGGGGGGGGGGGGGTTATCGAATGGTTTAAGCAAGACCGTGATTATATTCGGAAAAAATATTACAGCCAAGGTGTTTATTTATGCATTGGGATTATGATAAGCAACTTGTTATGTACGATATGCTGTGATGCAAAAAGGAAAACTTGCGAATATTTTACGCGCGGTAGCAAAACGTGGTTACAATCGTACGGCAATCCGAAAGGACACATGCACGCGATAGAGACAAAAGAAATCGGAATAGAATCGCGCGCGTCGTATGATCGATATATCGCTCCGTAAAATTCAAACCTCTACAAAATATTAAAAATTATATTGAAAGAAAATAAAAAGGAACGCCAAGTACACACGCGCCTGATGCTTTGTAAAATAATGTTACTTTAGTCAAAATAAAAATTATAAAAAATACCGCTATATGTATAAATAAAATTATTTTATGAAATAACGTTTGGTATCTGCCGAAAATTATACACATTGTCAGAATATCGAAATAAAAGCACAACTACTTTTTAATATTTTCTAAGGAGTATAAAGCCAATGGCACATATGGAAAAACATAAGCAGTTAAAGTCAAGAAAGAGAATCGAACACTTAATTACAAATTGTGGGAAAGATAAGGCGACGATTTAAAATTCTTGATTCTAATTAGTTAATTCAGCTCACAAGCTTACTTGTGTGCTTACTGTTAACATTTATCTACGCGTGTAATATTTTGGATTAGTTCACTTTTAACCTTACGGTACGAATGTACTTCAATGTCTCATAAGAATAAGAAATTTTGATACAACAAAAATCCAATAATTATGTGAGTTACATAACCTCATTTCCTTAAGTCTGTGTAAAGTTCTGATAATGTAAATTAAAAGGTCCAGAATCCAGAATCCAGAATCATTTAAAGCAAACCATTGAAATTGAGCTTTGCTCAGACTCATATGGAAACACTATGTTAATTACTTATGTGTTATAAATTTAATATTTCACTATTTATATGATTTATTTGACTATTTATATTATTACAATTATAATAATTGTTGTAATAAAAAGTGAAGTTTTAATTTCAACAGAAATTAAAACTTCACTTTTTATTACAACAATTATTATAATTGT